AGTTTTAGTTAGTTTTCCTTTTTTTGTTTTTATTTTTATTTCCGTTAACGAAAATGTTTTTTCACTTCTAGTTTTCGTTATTTCGTTAGTTTTCGTTAACGATAATAACCTTGCTACGCAGTATAAAAGAATACTAATGCAAGAATATTAATTTTACACTGACTTTAATTCATGGGAAATTTGCCAATAAATATATAGACAAAAAATAAAATACAAAAAAATGTCAACAATTTCACAAAATTGAACAAGCCATTCACAAATGCCAACACTTAGCCTTCTATCTGGGTCTATCTTGGGAAGTGTTTTTTTCTGCTACTGGGGTCTACTGCAGAATGTGGACTCTAATCAGAAACGCAGTGTACTTTAAAACAGTTGAGGATGTGCAGTTTAGATTCTGATTAAGCTACACACTAGAGAGGATATTTGGCCGTAGGTAACAGGATGCTCAGGAAGACATCACTCTGGGAAAAGAAATTTACAGGCACGTTCTGACTACAAGCTAGCTCAGCAGTTTTCATTTGTCTAAGAAAGTGGCACGAGGATCCTAAACTGCGGGTTTCAATGCTTCAGCTCAGGTAACAGCTGTTGGTTGACTACTTCTTTGCTTCCATCCATGGTCTTTCTTCCTGCTGGAGCAGAAGAATCGGGAGGTCTGGATGATAAATCAGATGAAGGCGTTGGGCTGGTTAGCCTCTGGATTCTAGAGATCTGTGGAAGGTGAAATAATGCATTAATCTACATGGTGATATATGACCACAGCTACACAGTCTATCAGCCAGACCCTATTTGTTATTCAGGTGTATCTAAGCAGCTATGTTGTTGTCACAGGGCAGATCCAGGACATGTTGGAGATATTCTGTCTATGCTGGTTTGAGTATCCCTGGTGTGTGGGGATCGGGAATTCTGGGCATTTCTGCTTAGACTGCTGCCCCTGAAATGGAGGGATGGATCAATTTGTGTCACCTATAGTATCTTCGTCATACACCAACTGCTTACTTGATACATACGTAATTCTTTGACATGTTGCATGAGAAAAATAAGGAAAGAAAAGCATCCAGTAACCGATCCTTTAAGCTCCATTTGTACTTGGTATCTGGACATTCGTGTTTCAGGTGGACAAATCCTATTTGACTATGAGCAAGCGCTGGTGACAGTAGGAACAGGAACATTTCCATTTTAACAACAAACATCCGCAGAAATGGGCTCAAGGAGGAGTAGCCATCTACTGCCACCAGTTCTCTATCACAGACTATCTCACTCTGTTCCCCGGCAGATCCCAAGCAGCTGGGGAAAGAGGGCGGCTGGGT